TAAAAGAACTAACAGATCTGTCCTGGAGGAAGTGCACCTGAAATGCTCCTTGGAAGTGAGAATGGCCAGACTTTGTCTCACCTATTTTGGTCATGTTGTCAGAAGGGACCATTCCTTGGAGAAGGATGTCATGCTTGGTAGGGTGGAGGGTCGACAAAGGAGGGGGAGGCCTTCAATGAGACAGATTGACATGGTGGCTATGATGATGGGCTCACGTATAGCAGGGATTGTGGGGCTGGCGCGGGATCGGGCAGTGTTTCATCCTGCTGTGCATGGGGTCACTATGAGTTGGAAACGACTTGATGGTACCTAACAACAACATATGTTTTTAATTGATTACTATTCTTATGTATAGAATCATGCAATGAGAAAATAATAAATTGTTCTTTTTAATCTTTCCTCAAATGTATACTACTTATTTTATTTTTTTTTCATTAGCCATGAATTAATGAACATTGTTATATAATTCTCAATTTTCCTGGTAATGATTGTTAGTTTGATGCTAGTTTATTCCTTAGGACATATATTTTTATCATGTAAGGAAATATTTATGTGCTCATATATCTTTAAAATTTTTGCTATGCTTTGCTTTAATCAGAAATGTACTTTTTTTTTTTTTTTTACACAATCCAGTATTTTGTAGTCTATCTCATTTATATTTATGGCTATAATAAAAATTGATTATAAATCCTTCATTTGATTTTTTCTTTTTTTAGCACTTCCTCTTTGTTGATATCTTTTGCTATATAGAATTTTAAATTTTAACTTTAAATGATATTGACACTCCTCCATGAAAAACTGAAAAAAAAATGCTCATAGTTTTTTTTCATCCTACCTATTCTTTTGCTCAATTGGCCAGATAGCTGTTCTCCCAATTTTTGGTTTATGCAACTAACTGCTTCCAGCATTGCATCAGTTTGTTGAAACATCTCAAGTGTTATTCCATATTTTCCTGGAGCCTTATTTTTTGCCAATATAAAGAAATTTGGAAGATCGATACCTGGCTAATTGATTGGAAGAAATCCATATTTCTGCTCATTTCAAAGAGAAGTGATCCAGCAGAATGCAGAAATTATCAAACAATATCATTAATATCACATACAACTAAAATTTTGCTAAAAATAATTCAAAAACAGTTGTAGCAGTACATTGCCAGGGAACTTCCAGAAGTTCAAGCTGGATTCAGAAGAGGACATGGAATGAGGACAAGATTGCTGATCTTGGCCGAAAACATACAGTACAGGATAGTTGTCCACATGTGTTTTAATGATTCCACAAAGACATTAAATTGTATGGGTTATGACAAATTATGCATAACATTTCAAAAAATAGGAAATCTATAACATATAATTGTGCTCATGCATGCCTAGACCAAAAGGTTGTTGTTGTCATGTGCCTTCGAGTTGGACCAGACTCATAGTGACCCCTCCTTGGGTTTTTGAGGCGGGATCACTACAGAAGTAGATTGCCCAATCTTCCTTCCGAGGAGTGGCTGGTGGGTTTGAACCGTCAGCCTTCTGGTTAGCAGTCAAGTGCCTTTGGCACTATGCTACCAGAGGCATTTGAAAAGAACAAGCGGATACTTCAGGTTTAAAATAAGGAACAGTGTGTGTCAGGGTTGCATCCTTTCTGCATATTTATTCAATCTGTATGCTCAGCAAATAATTCAAGAAGCTAAACTTTATGAAGAACACAGCCTCTGGATTAGAGAAAGATTCGTTAACAACCTGCAATGTGGAGATGTAAAAAAAAACTTGCTTGCTACTAAATGCGAAGAGGACTTGAAGCACTTACTAATGAAGATCAAAGACTATACCCTTCAGCATGGATTACACCTCACCAAAAAGAAAATAAAAATCCTCACAACTGGACCAAAAAGTAACAAACATAATCATAAACAGAGAAAAGATTAAAGTTGTCAAGGATTTCATTTTATTTGGACCCACAATCAACACCAATGGAAGCAGCAGTCAAGAAATCAAACAGTGTATTGTATTGGGCAAAGCTGCTGTAAAAGACCACTTTAAACCATTTGAAAACAGAGAAATCAGTTTGAGGACTAAGATGTGCCTGACCCAAGCCATGGCATTTTTCAATCAACTTATATGCATGTATCAGAAGGAAGACAGGGCAATCTACTTCCATAGTAATACTGCCTGGGAAACCCAAAGGGGGAGCCCTATGGGGAGTGAGTTTGGTTTGGTTTTATATCCATGTAAAAGCTAGACAACGAGTAAAGAACAAAGAAGAATTGATGACTGGGTGAAGAATCGATGAATTTTGGTGTTGGGGAAGAATATTAAATATACCATGAACTACCAAAACAACAAACAAATCTGTGTTAGAAGAAGTACAGCCAGAATGCTTTTCAGATTTAAGGACGGAGAGACTTTATCTCACTTACTTTGGTCATGTTATGAGGAAGTGCCAGTTCCAGGAGAAGGACATCATGCTTGGTGAACAGAAGATTAGTAAAAAGAGTTAGACCCTCAAGGTGATGGATGGACTGGCATAGGTGCTGTAACCATGGTCTTAAGCATGATTGTGAGGATGGCACAGTATCAATTAGTGCATCTTTCTATGGTACACAGGGTTGCTATGAAACAGCACAGACGCTATGGCACCTAACAACAGTAACTCACTATGGACATCCACATACTTTCAATGCTTTTCATTACAAAAGTTTTTGAAAATACCCAAAAGTAGGGAGAACATTAGAATGAATCACCATTAACCACAAGTTGGTTTCAACGATCAACATTTACATGTATATTTTTAAGTCGGCTAAGCAGGTCTATGGTCAACTGGTATTTTGATTTAAATCTAATGTGAAAGACTTTTCAGTTCTCTAGGGTCTTAGTTCTCCTGAAGGTTAGCAGCAGTAAGGACAAAAACACTCTCAGTAGGTGCCATTAAGTACTACCAATGACCAAGAAGTGAGAAAAACCAGATCTATTATAGATTAGAACTCAAAAACCACTTCGGAGTACAAGTACCAATTCCAACATCAATGGTGACCCCATGTGTACCAAAATGGAAATGTGTTCCACAGGGTTCTCAGTGGCTGATTTTTTAGAAGTAGATTGTAAGGCCTTTTGAGGCACCTGAGTGGATTGGAACCTCTAACTATTCAGTCAGCAGCTCAGACCTTTAACCATTAGCACCACAAAACTTTCCATAAATGTACCAAATGGTCATATTATAGGACCTGTCCATGACGGCAACCACAGCCACTGGTTAATTCAACTCAAAAGAATGCTAGTGTTTTTGTTTTCGTTTTTTAGTATTAGCCATAGAGAAAATGTAGCCCTGCCCTCTTGGATAAATCATATTGACTTAAGATTGCTTGGATTCATTTATCCCAAAACAAAAGCAGAAGTCTGAGGATCTACTGGGATTTCAGGGTTGTTCACAGTGCTAAGTGAAGGGGATTCTGTCTTAGAGGCCAGACTCTGGCACAGCGCTACCACCATCCTCTCTCTTGATCGCACTGCGGCAGGAGCTCTTCTGGGGGATAGGGGGCGCTTTAAAGGCACCATCTACAATTGGAATCCAAAACAAAGGAACATACTTTAAAAAGGAAGAACTTAAGAACGTAGACTCCAATTCTGGACCTAGTCCAGAATTCGACCGAAAAAGTAACAACCTAACGCTTCCCAAACGCCGTCGCACGCCCTCTTTTAAATGAGAATAGGCTAGAACTACGCTTCCCAGAATACCCAGCGGCAGAGTGGGGACATTTTTTAACCTCACCTTGGCTCCCGGCGCTTATGATTTGATTACCAACTCCTCCCTCGCCTTGGCTCTCCTCTACCTCAGCCTGATTTGTTGGATAGTCGTTGAGTGAGAAGGCGGCTCAGTCGTCACTGGCAGCAGTTGAATGGAGACTTTCTGCCTCATGACCTGACGGTAGTTGAAGTCTGTCCTCTAATCTGAGGGATAGCTTCTCTGATTGCTTCAAAGCAAGCGGACAACATTTCCCAGAAGGCTGCAGGGCTGTCGGGCGGCATGCGGGCGGAGCCTCACATCTGGTACAGTCATCCCAAGCCTCATCTGTGAGACTGTGATGGCCGGAGAGATGACGATCTTAGGTCAGTGACTCGGGGGTCCCTGATCTATTGCGGGCACCGGGGCGGTTTGGGACCACCAGGGTGGGCAGAAGTGGTTGCCGCCCATCTTGGATCTCGCAGGCGCAGCAGCGGGGATACCAGAAAAGTGACTTCAGGGCAATTTTTGCCTGTTCGGGGGAGGCGGAAGGTGCCCCTTGGAGGGCCCGGGCTAGTTCAGGCCAAAGTAGGGCCAGGTGCGACCAGCTGCAGATATCCCGGGAACATAAGGGCTTGGGAAGCTTATTTCCCCAGAGAACATAGATTTTAAATTGCTGTTTGAGTTGGGGCCTTGGGAAGGTGCAAGAACGTGCCAGTTATTTGTGGAGAAGAGGTGAGCAGCACTGGCACTGGAGATACCAAATTTGGAGGGATCTAAAAACTCACTGCCATCGAGTGGGATCCAACTCATAGCGAACCCTCCTTGGGTTTCCGAAGCGGTATCACTACGGAAGTAGATTGCCCAATCGTCCTTCCTAGGAGTGGCTGGTGGGTTTGAACTGCCAGCCATCTGGTTCACAGCCAAATGCTTTAGACACTACCAATAAAAACCAAACTCACCACCGGGGAATCAGATCCGACTCATAGCGACCCTTCCTTGGGTTTCCGCAGTGCTGTATCTACGGAGGGAGCTCTGGTAGCATAGTGCCTAAGGCACTTGACTGCTAACCAGAAGGCTGGCGGTTCAAACCCACCAGCCACTCCTCGGAGGGAAGGTTGGGCAATCCTACTTCCGTAGTGATACTGCCTCCGAAATCCAAGGAGGGGTCGCTATGAGTCGGGGCCGACTCGACGGCACATAACAACAACAACAGTATCTACGGAAGTAGATTACTCAATTTTCCTTTACAGGAGTGGCTGGTGGATTTGAACCGCCAGCCTTCTGGTTAGCGGTCAAGTGCCTTAGGCACTACACCACCGTCCCCTTAATGTATACCCGATGCTCTTTCCGCCAAACCAGAGGTAATACCCTCCCCAGCTGAGAAGGTGATGAAATGCTTCTGGAAATTTTGTCCGTAGGTGGAATAAGAAAGTGAGGTTGTCACTTTTTTTTTCTTTATGTGTTGGGATGAGCTACTAATGAGAAATGTAGACTCATACAGATGTCTGGCATATATAGAACACGATTGGACACAGGTGTATAGCACAACCCCCTGAAACCAAATAAGAGATTAACTGAAACGTTAAAGTGGTATCTTTCTTCACCACTTTATATTTAAAATCTGCATGATATTTGTTTATATCCATTGTTTTTAATTCATCGGATATTTATTTGTTGGTTCTCGTGGCGTAGTACCTAAGGCATTTGGCTGCTAACCAGAAGGCTGGTAGTTCAAACCCACCAGCCACTCCTCGGAAGGAAGGTTGGGCAATCTACTTCCGTAGTGATACTGCCTCGGAAACACAAGGAGGGTCGCTATGAGTCGAAACTGACCCGAGGGCAGTGAGTTTGATTTTTTTTGGTTATATGGTGCAGTTTGTGCTGGACTGCTAAGTGAAGAAAAGGCCTGGCGATCTGCTTCCAATAAAAATACAGCCCAACAAACCCTGTGGAGCAGTTCTATTCTGTAACACATGAGGTCGCCCTGAGTCAGAACTGACTTGACAGTAACTAAAGCAGCAACAATATTTGTTGAGTATCTGCTGTTTTCTAGGGACCGTTCTTAGGCAGGGGCTAACACCATTGAACAAAACCTGCCTTCAGAGAACTTACGTCCCTATTGCTATAAGTTAGTCACTTATGCTTCTTCTGTCCTAAATATTATCTCTTCAAGAAGTATGTTCTTAATACATATTTAAATACATAAAAAGTTAACTGTGTTGTGTTTTGAAGTTACAGTTTAATTCCTAATTAAATTATTTTATCTAATATACCCATTTTGCCCTTTTGAAGGAAAAGGAGAAAGGGTGATAAAATTTTAGCCTTACAGCAACAAAGTTTTTGCTATGGGAATTTTAATAATGGAGATTCTTTCTTTTTTATATTGTGAACTTTTGCCAATTCAACAATTTTTACAAATAAAATTCAGTGACATTGATTATATTTGTAATATTGTGAAACCATTACCACTATCCTTTTCCAAATTATTCTGCCACCATTAAGAGAAATTCAGTGCCTCATAAGTAATGACTCCCCCTTTCTCTCTCCCTCCTACCCCTAAAAACCACTAATAAACTTTAGCGTCTATACGTTTGCACATGTCATACAACTGACATCATAAAATATGTGTCATGGAGTTTCTTTTTTTAAAAAAATTCTTTTTTTTTTTTTTGGTTTTGTTCTGAATATATACACATCGAAGCGTACACCAATTCAACAATTTCTATGTGTACAATTCAGTGACATTGATTACATTCTTCAAGTTGTGCCACCATTCTCTCTTTCAGAATTATTCCTCCACCATTAACATGAACTCACTAAGTTTCTCTGACTTTTTGAGTTGCTGTTGTCAATTTGATCCTACATAGATAAATTTAGAGTGCAATGTTCAAGAAAGACATTATTTACTTATTAAGCTAAACTATTGTTTGGTTTAAAGACTTAAGGAGATATTTTTGGTTTAAAGATTTTTTTTCTCAAGGTGATCATTTGAGGTTCATCTAACCTTTGTGGCTCCAGAAAAATCTGAATTCCATGACAGTTTGAAATTCTGTTCTGAATTTTCCCCCTTTTTGATCAAGATTCTTATATAGAATCTTTGATCCAAAGGTTTAGTAATGGTAGCTGGGCATCATCCAGTTCTGGTCTCATGGCACAGGAGACATTTGTTCATGGAGGTAATTACTGGTGTTTCTTTTTAATAATGTTAACTAAAGCCATTTATATTTACTTATAAAACTATAAACTCTGAATATCAATTGATCAAGAAACTCATCAGCATAGTTATTAAGATGTTTTTACATTGTATTTCCTAATTCACCCATCAGTGACCTACACAAACGTAGAGTCACAGGGTTTTTTGTTGTTATTGTTGTTACTTTATTTTAATTGTATTGTTTTATAGCCAGTTTACTTTATGAAAAACTTAATATGTGAGAGAAGTGCTATCATTAGTCCTCTAAAAGAAAATATTTTTAGTCTTTTTTCCAAAAATGGTATTAAAAGGACTTAATAGTATTTTAATGTATTGTATTATTTTGATAAAATGTATCATCTCCTTTGCCTATATTTCAGGATCAGCTGTTTTGACTCTGCTGTTGGCTGGCTATTTGGCACAACAGTATTTGCCCTTGCCTACTCCTAAAGTGATTGGCATTGACCTTGGTACAACCTACTGTTCTGTTGGGGTGTTTTTTCCTGGCACAGGAAAAGTGAAGGTTATTCCAGATGAAAATGGCCATATCAGCATACCCAGCATGGTATCCTTTACTGACAATGACGTATATGTGGGGTATGAAAGCTTAGAACTGGCAGATTCAAATCCTCAGAACACAATATACGATGCCAAAAGATTTATAGGCAAGATTTTTACCCCGGAAGAGCTGGAGGCTGAAATTGGCAGATACCCATTTAAGGTAAGTCATTAATCTAAAATTCATTTTAATTTTAGTCCAGCATAACTCTTTTAGATAATGCTTTGGCTTCGAGTGACAAAGCATTCTACTTCAACTGACTTAATTTACATAGAAATTGTATTTCACATATAACAAAACTTACTCTTCCAATTGAGTTAAATCAGTGGCTTCACAGTGCTATCAAACATTTAGATCCTACTGTATTTTTACTGTATCATCTTCAGCATGTCTGCTTAGTTCTTTAAAATGGTAGCAGGAAGGCTGATAAAGCCCTGATAGAGCAGTACTTAAGGACTTGGCTTCCAACTGAAAGGTCAGTGGTTTGAACCCACCAGCTTCTCTGTGAGAGAAAGATATGGCAGTCTGCTTCCAGAAAGATTACAGCTTTGAGAACCTTATGAGGCAGTTTTACTCTGCCTGTAGAGAAGCTGTGAGTTGACATTGATTCCATGGCAGTGAGTTTGGTTTGTTTATATATATGACACATAAAACAAGATCCTCATAGGCTACTATTTAATGACTTCTTTGAAACTCAGCAGTAAGTCATGGATTCACATCATCATTTTTAATGACTATGTTGTACAACTATTCTATTATTTGATTACTAGTACTTTACTGTGTACATTTCGTTTCTTCTGGTTTCCCAGTAATATTGATGCTTTAGTGAATATCCTTATACACATCTGTTACATACTTCTCTGTTAATTTCCTAAACTTAAATTTTGGAAGTTGAATTAACAGGTCAAAGGTTATATGCTCTTAACTGCTGCTTTTTAGAGTATATATATATATATATCTACTAGGTTTACTCTACTAGGTTTCTGGGAGCTCTGGTAGCATAGTGCCTAAGGCACTTGACTGCTAACCAGAAGGCTGGCAGTTCAAACACCAGCCACTCCTCAGAAGGAAGATGGAGCAATCTACTTCCATAGTGATACTGCCTTGGAAACCCAAGGAGGGGTCGCTATGAGTTGGGTCAAACTCAACAGCACATAACAACAACAACAACAACAACAACTAGGTTTCTAGGTAGCGCAAGTGGTTTGCATTTGGCTACTGACCAGAATGTTGGGGTTCACACCTACCTAGTAGTCCCATGGAAGAAAGGCCTGGCAACATGGTTCCATAAAGATTACAGCCAAGAGAACCCTAAAGAGCTCAGTTGTATTCTGTAAAACATGGGGTCACCATGAGTGCAATTGGAGTTGACAGCAATGGGTTTGTTTTTTTGTTGGTTCTAGTGGCCTAGTGCCTAAGCCATTTGTCTGCTAACCAGAAGGCTGGTGGCTCAAATCCACCAGCCATTCCTCGGAAGGAAGATTGGGCAATCTACTTCCATAGAGATACCACCTCGCAAACCCAAGGAGGGGTTGCTATGAGTCAGATCCGATTCGATGGCACTGAGTTTGGTTTGTTTGTTTTTTATCTCTACTAAACCAAAACTCAAAACCAACTCAATGCCATGGAGTCAGGTACAACTCATAGCTACCCCTCCTTGGGTTTCCAAGGTGGTATTATTACTGAAATAGATTGATTAATCTTCCTTCTGAGTAGTGGCTGGTGGGTTTGAACTGCTAGCCTTCTGATTAGCAGTCAAATGCCTTATCTTTGCTAATGAGATAAGTGAAAAATGGTTTAATATTCATTCCTTTGGTTTCTAGTGTGTTCAAATTTTTTTTTTTAAATTTATAAATTAACCTTTTAATTTTCATTAGTGATCCATTTCTTGTTCTATTTCTTATTTTTGTTTTGAAGTGTGTATCTCTTCCATAAGGAGCTCTGGTGGTCCAACCGTTTAGCACTTGGCTGCTAACTGAAAGGTGGACGGTTTAACCCAGCTGGCTGTTCAAACCCACCAGCCACTCCTGGGAAGGAAGGTTGGGCAATCTACTTCCATAGTGATACTACCTCAGAAACCCAAGGAGGGGTAACTATGAGTTGGATCCCACTCGACAGTAATGGGTTTGGGTTTTTTTTTTTTTTTTGGTAACCAATTTGCAGGAGAAAGGACAAAGCTCTGCTTCTGTAAAGGTTATAGCTACGGAAACACTATTGGGTGTTTCCACTGTCACGTGGGATCGCTGTGTGTGGGAGTTGACTTGACAGCACCCAACATCTCTTCCATAATGACCGTAAAATATCTTTGTCATGTGTTTTCAATATTTTTCATAACCATTTTGTTTTTTAACTGATGATAATGTAATTTTGTTTTTGAGCTCTCGATGTTTTTCACTTTTTATGTGGTGAAATCATCTCTCTATTATTTTTTATAATTTCAGATTCTTTTATTAAGCTTATGATCACCTTTTCCAACCTGTCCACTTGTAGTTGTTTCTTTTTTTAAAAAAAAAGAAAAGAATGATTTTATGTGAGTTGGTTTGGGTTTTCCTGGTTTTCTGTTTTATTTTAAGCATTTAAATCTTTTATCCATAAAGTAAAATTCTAAATAATTGGTTTTAAAATAATTAATATTAATACTGCTTATTGAAAATTCTCTATTTCTGTGTGTTTCAAAGGACAAAAAATTGTTTATAACATTTCTTAATTTATTCCTTCGTGCCTTTTTAATTTCTTTATTAGGATTCTTTATTGATTTATAATCTATTTTTTTTTAACTTTAAGAGCTTGTTTTACATTCTACATAACGCATACATTTAGTTTCATTCCCCATTCCCATGTCCAACCCTAACCCAGTCTCTGCTCCCTACTCTGCAACACACCTCCCCCCCGTGCCCCTCATATTTACGCACTCCTGTTTGTCCTGCATTTCCTCAGTTTGAATGTTGGTCCTCTGGTGTCCCATGGTCTATTGCTCTAAGGGATGTATTACCATAGAGTATGTGGGTGCGGCATCCTGGGTTGAGTGGTCTGAGTGTACATCTTGTTAACTATTGGGCTGAGAGCCTGCCCCTGGGGGTGCGTTTTATTCCAGGCGCGTAATGTATTCCAGGGCCGTAGTATTGGGAGTCTCACCAGATTTCATCTGACTGGTAATTCTGGTCATTATTGAGTTTTTGGATTATGTTCCATGTTTTCCCTCCCTCTCTATCCAGGATTTCCAGATTTGATCCTTTCCTGAGTGGTTGTTATTTGTAGCCAGGCACCATCTAGTTCTTCTGGTCTCAAGGGCCATCGTGTCCTAAGGCTGATTGCTTCTAAATGCCCTAGGGTTTTTTTTGTTTTGTTTTGTTTTTCGTTCTTCTTCACTTCCGATGCTAGGAGACCATTAGCTGCATCTTAGATGGCTGCTTGAAAGCTTTTAAGACCCCAGTCACTACTCACCAATGTAAGATGTGGAGCAACGCTTTTATGTATTTTGTTGTGCCAGTTGAGTCTGGTGTCCCCCAGTACTATGGTACTGAAGTAGTAGATCTCTTGGATCTCTCTCCCATAGTGTCTGGATGTCTGTGAGAGATTACTCTGTGTCTGTCTTCTATCCTTTCTGTGAGGACTGCAGGTAATTTGTATCACTGGTGTCTGTGCAAGATTGTTGTTGTTGTTATGTACCCTCGAGTCGGACTCGACTCATAGCCACCCCTCCTTGGGTTTCCGAGGCTGTATCCCCACGGAAGTAGATTGACCAACCTTCCTTCCCAGAAGTGATTTGTGGGTCTCAGCTGAATCTATCCTTCATTTAGAGTATACCTCTGTTCACTGACCCCCATCTGATCGTCTTAGGTGTCTATGTGTTTATCTGTATAGCCTAGTGTTTGGTGTTAATGGCAATGCAGTATTGTGGACACACTGGTTGGTATTAGCATCTGTCGTCTATCTCTAATGTGTAAAATTCAGTGTCCTCCCATTTTCTAATGTTATTATGGTGGTCATATATCCTTCCCGTATATCCCTCCCCCTACCCATGTCAGCGTGTAAGCCCCAACTAGCCCAAAATTAATCCCTTCCCTTCCCTCCCCACCCTGGTAACCTACTAGGTGAGTTCCCTTTCCCAGGCAAACCCTTCTCTGTCTTTTTACAGTAAAGGACTCATACAGTACTTGTCCTTCTGTGATTGACTTATTTCAGTCAGCAGAATGTCCTCCAGGTTCATCCACCTTGCAAGATGATACGCATATCCCTCATTGTTCTTTCATGTGGCATAGTATTCCATTGTGTGGTACACCATAATTTGGTTATCTACTCATCCGTTGATGGGCATTTAGGTTGTTTCCATCTCTTTGCTATGGTGAATTGTGCTGTGATGAACAGAGGTGTACATATATCTGTTCATGCACTATCTCTTACCTCTTTAGGATATATTCCTAGTAGTGGAATTGCTGGGTCAAATGGTA